ATATATACTATATATATATATATATATATATATATATATATATATATATATATATATATTTGTAGCCTTTTGCTTTGCCATTATTTTTCTATCTATTTATCGTACTTTTGCTTTCAAATTTTTCGCTAGCAATTGCAAGCGGGCCAACCGCTCCGGGCTTCAACACCTGATGATTCGGCGTGGCAACGAGTGATCCTCCACCCCTTCTCTTCTGCGCGGCGTCATACAGCTGCTTCTGCATCACAGCCAGCGAGACTTTATTCGCGGACAAGAAATCTTTCATGGAGATCAGCTCGCCCGACATCCTGCGTGGCATTTCTGAATTATCTTCCGCTCTAATTGAGTCTCTAGCGACGAGCCTCGTTGGTCTCCTCTTTGAGTAGTATGCGGTCGACACGGAGGACTGCCTCCTCGGTAAATACGGCGCTGCTAGATTCCGATTGCCGTATTGCAGCTTGTGTATCACGTAATTTAGACCTTGCTTTATCACGATCGACGTGACATTCAGTAAAGAATATATGCAGCAGCATCCCACCACGAGGAAGACGAAATTTGCGAATCTATACCTGCGTTATGATCAAGAAAAATAAAATTACACTTACTTATGTCTTCAAAGCTTTAATACGAAAACTTATTGACACTTTTGTATTTTTGTTAAAGAAAATTTATCAAAGGGTCTATCATTTAAAATTTTCAGTTTGATATAGTTTACAGAACTTTAGTGTGGAGTAGATATATTGTACAAATTTGTTCTTATTGATGTAAACACAATCTTTGTGATCTTACCAATGTACATAAGGATAATTCGGCTTTTGCGTGCTGACGAAATCGCCGAAACCAATAGTAGTGAAACTAGTGAAGGCGAAGTACAAAGCGTCGAAGTAATTCCAATCCTCCAACAGCGTGTAAAGCCCTGCGGCACAACAGGCAATGATGCAGGATGTGATGGATAAATAAAACATGACCCAGTATACACTCGGTTTCCACTGATCTAGATCCACATGATCGTCGTCGTCGAGGATATCTGGCAGAGATGGTTTTTGAGTGCTCGACGTTTTGGAAATTCGCCGGGATGTCAACGTAGTCTTGCGTAGACGTCTTCTCAGCCGATGTATGTGCCAGCTGCGCAAGATCCACGCCAGGAGAGTAATGATTCTCTCCAGAAAGAGATTGAAGAACAAGATACCACCTAAATCATTATTTGGAATCAAATAGCTAAATAATTAGTAATTGTTAAATTTAATAATTATTATAATTATTTGTTGTGACTTTTTAAACATGTTCTATGTAAAATATCTTTTTGTTGTTAGGTATAATAGTTTTTAATTGTTACCGGAACAACCGAAGAAACCATAAAGAACGACAGCTGCTTTCCCGGCCGTTGTCTGCGGCGCGGTGCTCCCGTATCCTGCAAAATAACTTCAGTATCACGCTTCTTTCATTTCAGAAACATATTACACAACGATGTGTGTGCACATAGAGATCGACGACCAAAGGACATTCAGCCGCGTGGATAAATGCGAGACTAGGTCGCGAGATATTAGCATTCCGGAATTCACCAGAGCATTCTCGAGCACTCTCGTGCATACGTCGGCCGACGACCCTTACACCCCCTTTACTTAACATCATTACGACGTAAGTTTTGCGGAGGAATGCGATCGCCTCGACAAGACTTTTCTCTATCGTGTAGAAATATTTGTACGCCACGAAGATATCGTTACTCGCGTAAGAAGTAAAAAGGAGAGTAGGAAAGAATTAAATCCTTTGAAATACGGAATTTTATATTTTCTTTATGATTTTTATGAATAGATTTTTTTTTTAGAAGTTTTTTTTCCTCTCATAATAACTGAAGGCTGTACGTTAATAATGATAATTATGACAGAAAAAAAAAAACTTGACTTTCCCAGATATTAAGATCTCGAGTGCGGATTAAAATCGAGCGGGGTCGTCTTCCTGAAAGTTGATTCTTTCCCCGGGGATAGGAAACCGAAAGAGTGCCAGGTACAGAATATGCGACATAAATCCCACTGACCCCGATACTCCCGGTCACGTCGTGGATACGGATGACTAGTAACCGGTATTCTCAGTACGGTATTGCGTTACGTTTCTTACCGATAGTAGAAACTATGGTGCCGACAAAGTGAAAGCTACCGGGAAAGTCCCAGCGGCGTCTCTTGTTAATGACACCGGTAGCGGAAGCGTTGCCGTAGGCATACAAGAGCTCGTGCAGCCTCTGCAAGGCCAGGGGGCTACCTCGCAGGTGGTGTCTTCGAAATGCGTGATATACCTGCCAGAATTCCGTGGCCTGCGCGTCCCAAATAATATCAATTAATAAATACAACGAACCGCCTGGTTTACAAAAGCTTCTAAATCTTTAATGCACTCGTCCAATAAAAATATATTCACACATCGACCACGCTATAAAAATACACACACGATTCATCGATTCGTCAGGCGAATGAATTAATAAATATGAGACTCTCATTGTTTAATTCTTGATTTACTTCGCACGATGATCACAATCTTAATGTTTTAATTTTGAATAAGGGATGCGTTTTCTTGAAATATAATTGCTTCTTACGGGAAATTGTAAGAGGGAGGTAAAAGTGTATTTTTTTTTTTTTTACGAGGGTACACGTCCGATGGATACTCTTCCTGTACCTGCCGTATTTCGAGATCACTCTCTAGTCTCTGGAAGAGGGCCGCGCCTGCGAGCATGTACGCTGTCAGGACAACGGCAAGGAGGATGATCCTAGCGTTGTCCTCCGCGAGGCCTCCGCACAAGCACATCACCGGCGACTCTCATCTTTCCGACAGCCGGTGGCTGCTGCATGCAATCCCCCACCGCGCTTTTCATCCGGAGCGGCGCAAGCTCGGCGGTCGAGAAGAATTCGCGAAGAAATACAAGGACGCGGGAGAAGCAATTTAACGAACGCCTCCTCTTTGTTACCTATATGCACGGATAGATCAAAACGACTGATTAGAAAATATTACCAATCAATTTGATATTTCCTGCTAATCGAAATATTAATTTGTCATGTCTCAATTTATTAATTTTGTCATGTCTCAATCTCCATTGATGAATTAGCAAAGATTTTAATTTTCGAATGCTTTTAAATTTACGCGAGAGGTATATTGAACGAGGAGATAAAATTGATCGGAGCTAGATTGGAAAATATCCTAATTGCTTCGCATTGACGCGACAGTATGCTGGACGACAGGCAGCCGAGATGTATGTGGGGCAATCCAACGCCGGTATCATTGAGAGCAAATCCTTTGATGAGATAAAAATAGAAATACATTCGCTTGCGTATTCAATGCGTGAACTCCACCAAGGGGATGTCTTTTCGTAAAAAAGCTCTAAGTAAATGCGGCGGATAATTAACTGGCGAAAAAGGTGGATGTAAAATTGCATGGATCCTACGCGTTGCGGAGCTCTTCAATTCTGCCAATTAAAAGGTCACACAGGTGAATCGGACATCTTGGAAATGTCGTAAGTTAAATTTTGGAAATTTTATTACGCTTGAAATGCCAGGAAAAATATGAATTCAACGTTGTTCGTCTGTAAACGTAAATTTATATTATTTTCCAGATTTATAAAAATAAAAATATTTGACGTTTGACGGACAAGAGAAAGGAATAGGATAAGACTAACAAAGAATAAATCGTGGACATTTGTAAAAATACTTTGTTATAATAGACAATCTGTGAAAGTTACATTTACATAAATAGGTATTATCGATACTCTCATATCGACATTATTTTACAATTATATAAAAATCTACATAAAATATTGTTCACATTATCCGCTATAATACTATCTTTACGTCATGAACGTATGTTAGAACTTATTATTTTATGTTAACAGTATTTAAAAATTGACAAATAGTTTGTTTTTCTGGCACGTTAATGCCTCGCTTGCGGACCTTCCTCCAATTTCCGCCAGACGACCTGGAAAGACGATTAATCTTAAGTATCATAAAGAATGTCATATCCCTTATCTCACGCGAAAGATTTTTTTCGTACAAATTCCATAAGAATTACGGAATATTGTTTCAGAAAAATCTCTATTCTGAGACTATATTTTAAACATATTTTTTTAAAATAAAATCTGCATCGTAAGGAATTAATCGAGGAATGACAATAGCGTTCACTTACATTACACATTTCTCTAACCAACGCCTTCTCACCGTCGTGACCTTCTTCTCTTTCCAATTGTTCTCTGACCTCGAGAACTTGAAGAGCGCGCACTACGGCTTCTGGTCGGCTTCCTAGATGAGTATTGTCGTTCGGGCTCGCGGGGCTGTCCCAAACTTCGCCCGATGGTAGGTGCTCCCAACCTTGCGCACGAGCTTGAAGAACACTTTTATCTTCTTCTAATTGCTTCACCCGTTGCTCCAAATTTCTCACGTACTGCATCGTTTGGTCTGCAAAAAATTCATAATCGAATTATCTTTGAAGATTATCAAAACCGATCATAGCTGCTTATTTCGAATTATGCATATTTTACTTAATGACCGTGAGCGTTTTAAATTTGCATAGCGTATATTAATTATGCGTCATATTAGTATTACATAAACACAAACAGGCAATGTTTCTCTAGAAATGTTTTCATTTTCTACAAATTATTATGCATATTTCCTTGTATGTAAAAAAAAAGATTTCCGCTTATTAATTTAACACGAGAGAGAGAGAGAAAGAGGTCTGCATTTTTTACTAGATTTTACCGTTAAATGTGGAAGTGTGCCTTGGCCTCGGCGGCGCAGTCTCCTCGGCATTCGTGCTCGAACTCGATCCATCGCCGTCGTCCCTTTGACCACCGCCGCGTTCCTCATCGAGATACAGACACAGCTCCTTGAGCTCCAGATTATCCTTAATCAACTCTTGCTGTTTATTATCCAGTTGACGTAACTTATTCTGATAAGCTGAGACTTCTTGTCGCATAACGCTCACTGTGTATCGGCCGAATCTCTGCCACTCTCTCGCCAGCTTGCGACCCTTTTGTCGGTCGTCATCCAAAAAGCAGCACAAATCGCGCAGTTCCTGGTTATCGTCGTTTAGCCTTTGGTTGGCCTCCTTCAGCAACCGCAGCTCATTCAACTGGAAAGTAGATAGTTTTGTTAAATCGCGCTCGCCTACATCGCTTACATTTCTTAAAGTCATGGCTCTTCTAAAGCTCGATGAAAAAATTTTATATTTACATGATGCAAGTGAATAGACTGTACATAAATACTTATATAGATCTATATATATCAGAGATATCTATGTAGATTCAGGCGGAAACTATTGATAATATTTCGACTATTTTATTGATCAATTACTAAATTAAATCATAAAAATTCATAAACAATTATAAATAACTATTCAAATATATTGTATGTTTCTTTGTTATCTACGTATTCTATTTCATATATTTTTTTACAAATATATATATTTTTTATAATACCGATCTCCTTTATTCAATCGAATATCCTTTTCATCCGGATATTATTAATTTGTGTGCCTGTGAGAGAAATAACGGAGTCAATGATCTCCTAGATGACGTATTCGCGCTGTGGTACACGCCGATTGCCGAAAAAAGTCTTTCACGTATTCATCATGCGTGTACGAATGACGCGTGACCAATTCGAATCACGTACTTTTGGTAAAGTTAGCATTTGCTGGCCGAAGAAAACCAAATTGTTCTCGTATTCATTTGCGGTTTATGCATATGCGTGACTGCTTTAAATTATGACCATCGGTTCATCTGTGTATGACCTACAAGAGTCTCTCAAAAACTTCCGTGGTAAAGATTTCAAGGGCAGCAGGCTACAGCCTACATCTTGAAAATATCACGAAATATTATTATATCCTAATGTGTTATTAATATAACAAAAAAGAAAAAACATAAAAAACGTTATTTCACTTGCAAAATATTTATAAACTTAACGACTGGAAATTGAAATCGATTTATTTTCAGGCGAAATCGTTATGCAAAAATAGAAATATGAACGAAGGTAACATATAATAAATAATTATTTAGGTTGCATTCCATATTTATATTTCGAGTAGAATTATTTCAACAAATTGTGTTTTTTTATTTTACGATTTATAAAGAGTGACGTTAATAATTACATTTCAACATTTTCCTAGTTCTTTCACGTTTACATTGATCTAATTTTATGAGTTAGAATTACGTTACATATAATTACAAATGTAAATCTCTCAGATTACTCCTGAGTTATTTGAATTCCAAGTCTAGTAAACATTATTAACTACGACCGATGTTTATTTTTCAATGAAATCATTAGATGAACTTTAATCTCAGTTTAATTTATTTTTTATTTTTTTTTTCAATTAGAAATGAGTATAAATCATAAAATTAAATCATAGTTAAATTTTCAGAATTTTCAAGAATTAGAGAATTCGTTAAGGAAAGACTTACCAAGTTTTGTATCTGGCGATTCTGCTCGGCGGCGAGCCTAGCGATGTCACTCTCGGTCTTCCGCACAAACTTGAGCATCTCCACGGGACCAAGTCGCAAGAATTCGTCGTCGCTGATTCTCTGTCTGACTGGCGCACTCTGGCCGTTGTTTACTGCCGGGTACTGGCTGCTGGGTGGCAAGTATGCGCCTTGGCCGAGCTTGGGCTGTTGAAGGTAGGTCGACGGCTGCGACTGCTGTTGGCTCTTGGACGCCGCCGCCGACGCGGCAGCGATCAGCGGATTAGCCGGCTGGGGATGATGATGACGATGCTCTATCCTCGGCGAGTACTTGCTTTGCGCATCCTTCGGTAACTGCTGTTGCTGCGATTGTTGCTGCGATTGCGACTGATGTTGCTGTTGTTGTTGTTGCTGTTGATGATGATGATGATGATGTTGCGATGACGGTGGTGCCGGCAGCAACGTGCGCGGCTGCGTGCTCTGATGATGGTTCAAGGCCGCGCCCGGACCTTGATTATTGCCGGCCTGAGCCGCGCTCGGCGTCGACGTAGTTCCGCTGGCGAAGTGAAGATGATTCTTCAGGATACCGCTGGTGGGCTGTGGTGGAGGCTGATAGCGCGGCGGTAGGTGCTCCACTGACTTGATCACGTGCGAAGGATGATGCTGCGGCGGCTGCTGCTGCTGCTGCTGCTGCTGCTGATAGTGCTGCGGCTGCGGCTGCTGCTGCGGTTGGGACTTACTCTTATTGGACATCGCGGCTAATTTAGCTCCAGGCTGCGCCGTGTCCCATTTCAGAAAGTCCGCCGCGGCCTCCTCGCGCCGGTTTGACCCGCCGAAATCTGGGTCAGCGCGCGATCTCTCACGAGTAGCAACGGCGGCGACAGCGGGCCCGGTTCGCACGACCGGCCCCGCGCGATACATACGTCGTTCCCTCCACCGACACCCGGGCCTCGCCTTATCGCCGTAGGGGGCCTCACTCGCACGCTACTCTTTGGACGACCGATTTCCGCACTCTCCTTCTTCTTCTTCTTCTTCTTCTGCTTCCTCGTTTTTTTTCGCCTTTTCTTCACCTTCTCCTCGCACTCGTCTTCTTTCGCGCGCTTCTCGTTCCGAGTGCACCTGCCTCGCGAGCGGCGCCTTTCTGTTATGTGCTGCGACGCGACCGAAGATTCCACGGAAGAATCTCGTCCAGCTTGAATCACTCGCTATGATTCATCTACGATTCATTTTATCAACATTAATTAAATAATCTCAGCTTTTTATCCGCGATTACAAATCATGAGGGGGCCAAGAAGAGATAGAATAGCGATCATTTTCCAGGTGATGGTTTTATTCGGTAATCAACCAGCGATAAGAAATTGAATATTAATTATCTTTTACGAAATTATCATTAGGATTAGGCCATCGCTGTCGACATTCTTCCTCTTCAAAGAATTGTACCAGTTACAGCGAGTCTTTCACCATTCACAATGCACCTTGTCATTTCAAAATTAAAATTGAAACCACTAAAGTAAGAGACTAAAGATAAGAATTATTATTTATCTTGTATAGAGTATGTTCACTATTCGAGTGTTCGGATATGTTCAGCGAGTGCATTCACTTTGGAATGCTGTTCACTTTCGTGACTACCACCGTACCGCGATGCACGGCTCGACTTGTGCACGCGTCAGCGTCGCTCGCTCTCGTAACAATCATACAATCGTGGCCTTCGCGTTCAACTTAAACCGCACGCTGCTCACAATCGACATACCAGTCCCCGCGTACCACTAATCCCAGCAGTGCCACGAGTAACACCGATTCCCCTCTATCGGCACAGTCACGCGTCTCCCCGTCTCTCTATACGCGGTTTGAGCGCCCTTCACACGTCTCCCCGTCTCTTTCTTTCGCTCTCCTCGATACGTTACAGGCTCCAGCGAGAAAAAAATCATTTCGTCCCTCGTCGAACATCCTACTCCTCTCTCCGCCTGCACCAATTCTCAGTCTGTCAGCAGCGCGTCGTTCTCCACCTTGGCTTCAGACACTGTCAATGTCAACAAAACATGAAAATATATATATATATATATATATATATATATATATATAT